AGAGTGAAACGGCGGCCTGAAGCAGAAGCTCACACCTGTAAGCCCAGCACTTTGGGAGCCCAAGGCGGGCTGATCACTTGAGGTCAGGAGTTCGAGACCAGCCAGTATGGTGAAACCCCATCTCTACTAAAAATACAAAAATTAGCTGCGCATGGTGGCATGCGCCTGTAATCCCAGCTACTCAGGAGGCTGAGACAGGAAAATCATTTGAACCTGGGAGGCAGAGGTTGCAGTGAGCCGAGATCACACTATTGCATTCCAGCCTGGGTAACAGAGCGATACGCCGTCTCAAAAAAAAAAAAAAGAAATAAAAAAAGAAAAGAAAGGGGGAAGGCACAGGCTTGAACTCATACTTGGTGCCCCACCAGTGAAGTCGGCTTATCTCTAAAGCATCGCCTTTTAATCTCTCTAATGGAAGGATTCTGTGTCCCAAACTTACCCCAAACCCACTTTCCAGTGTTTAGGGAACATCTGGCCTGATGTAGGCTTTCAATTCAGATGAGAGGTTCACAGCCAACTTTCTGGGGGCCCTAGGGTTACGGGGCTGGGAAGGCAGGCATGACTGTAAGGTCTGAGGAGAAAACTGATGGACGGAGGGGAGGAAAAAGAAATAGATCCTTTATAGCTGGCTCGCTGGTAGCTCCCTCCCTGTAGTTCTTCAACGCCTACGTCCTTGGGACTCACCTTTTCTCCATACTCCTAAAATCTTCTTTCAAGTTCCCCATAGGCTCTACTGTTCTCCCAAAGGCCCCCTCAGACCCAGATCCTCCTCCTCACACCTCCACAGTACTCCACTTAATCTTCTGTATTCTCAAAACATTAATTGAGTGCCTACCGGATACTGTGTGAATGCGTATCTAAGACAAAGTCCCTGCCTTCGAGGAGCTGTTAGTGGGTGCAACAGACAACCACACAGATTGGGTTACAGTGAGGTCACAAACGGGAAAGTCTTAGGTTCTTTTCCCCCAAGACGAGTCATCTGGAGCTTTTCAGTTCCTCAAACTCGTTCTTGGCTTCTCAGCCGGCAGGCCTCTGCCTCTGTAGTTTCCTCTGAATGAGCCCCTCTCTTTCCACTTCTCTTCATCCGGCTAACTCCTAATGCCTCTTCGTGCTTCCTGTATGAAGCCCTCTCTGACTCCCCTCTGCACACAGCCCTCGCCCACCCCCTCCCCCCCTCCAGGCTAGACCAGATGCTCCTCGCCTGGCCCCTAAAAGGAAGCTCTGTACCTCCCCTATCATGGCATCTCCTACTCTGAATTATCACTGCTTGTTTCTACCAATGTGTGAACTCCAGGGGTACCAGGACCAGACCTCCAGTCCGCCGCAGCGTCCCAGCGCACAGTACGTTCAAGGAACTAAGAGACCCTGCAGACCTCGGAACCTTGCAGCCCCCGACGCTGCTCCGCAAGGGCCGCCCCTGGAGCCAGCCCCTCCGGCAGGATACGCCCCACGGGCCCCGCCTCCTCACCTTCGCATTTGCTGGGCAGGCGAACCCAGTCGTTCTCGTCAGCTCCGGCCTGGCTCGGGCCCAGCTCCGGGGCAGGCAGCAGCAGCAGCAGTAGCAGCAAGGGAGGAAGCAGAAGACAGCGCGACGCGGGCTCAGGCAACAACTCCATGGCCCAGCCGGGCCCGACCCGAACGGACCGGGCGGCACCTCCTCCCGCGGCGCGCGCGGAGCAGCTTCCCCGCGCCGCTTCCGGGGCTGCACACGTGCCTCCGCGTAACCACGACAACAGCCAGCCTCCCGCCCGCCCTCCTCTCGCAGCCGCAGCCCGCCTTCAAAGCAGACCAAAGCTGGCGGACGCCGCAGCCAATAGACTTTCTGGGGTTTGCCCCCTAACGAATGGGAGGACTACCGTTGTATGGCCTTGGCCAGTAAGAGAGCAGATGGTGCCCTCAGAGACCTATGGCAACGTCCTTTCCCACCCCCTAACGGAGGCTCTGGGAGAGGATGCAGGACCAGGACCCGGGGAGAAGCAGCCTGTGTCTGGGCCTGAGTGGCACGCATTGAGGCGCGCAGGTGCTGGAAGATGTCGGGAAGGCCGGCTTCGCGGCTTTCTCCGCCTCTTCGAACGTCACTTCCCTCCTGGGTTCCTAATGCCGCAAGTCCTTACTGAACACCTGTTTTTAAATGTTATTATTATTGGTGTTGTGGTTGTTATAGCCAGGCACTCTTGTAGGCGCTTAGGGTGCGAGCAGGAGGACTCAGACTGTCCCCAGCCTTCAAGATTTGTCCTAGTGAGAACTAGAACAAATGACTTCCTCTCTGAGTCTGTTTCTATTTGTATGACAAAGTGATTCTTCTAGCTGCTGTATGAGCTTGCCTGTTGTTGGGAAGCTCAAATAGGTTAATAGAATTACAATTTACCGAGCAGACTGTAAAAAGTTCAGGCATTAATTTTCTTTTTGTAAGTAATCCCAGCCCCTTTTACTGCCCTATTATTTATTTCTTGATTCTGCCCTCTCAGAAGGCAGGAATTTGGCCGATTAACGATTGTCTCTCCCTTCCGTTTCCTCAGCAACAACAGGGTGCCTGGCACAAGGAGATACTCGGTAAATCTCCCATCGGCTGTGTCATTAAGAGGAACACTTAATGGCTCACGCCTGTAATTCTAGCACTTTGGAAGGCCCAGGCGGGAGGATCACTTGAGCCCAGGAGTTAGAGACCAGTCTGGGCAACAGGGTGAGACCCTGTCTCAAAAAAGAAGAAGAAGAAGAAAAAAAGCCCAGGTGCCCTGGCTTACGTCTGTAATCCCAGCATTTTGGGAGGCCAAGATGGGAGAACTGCTTGAGGCCTGGAGTTCGAGACCAGCCTGGTCAACACAGCAAGACCCCATCACAAAAATAAATAAATCAACCAAAATAAAAAATAAAGAGGAGGCCGGGCTCGGTGGCTCATGCCTATAATTCCAGTACTTTGGGAGGCCAAGGCAGGCGGATCACGAGGTCAGGAGTTCAAGACCACCCTGGCCAAGATGCTGAAACCCCCTCCCTACTAAAGATACAAAAAATTAGCCGGGCGTGGTGGCGCCAGCCTATAATCCCAGCTACTCGGGAGACGGAGGCAAAAGAATTACTTGAACCTGGGAGGCGGAGGTTGCAGTGAGCCAAGATCACGCCATTGTACTCCAGCCTGGGCGACAGGGTGAGACTCTGTCTCAAAAATAATAAAGGCTGGCACGGTGGTTCATGCCTGTAGTCCCAGCACTTTGGGAGGCCAAGGCAGGTGGATCGCAAGGTCAGGAATTGGAGACCAGCCTGGCCTATATGGTGAAACCCCCTCTCTACTAAAAATACAAAAAAATTAGCTGTGTTGGTGGGCGCCTGTAGTCCCAGTTACTTGGGAGACTGAGGTGGGAGAATCGCTTGAACCCTAGAGGTGGAGGTTGCAGTGAACTGAGATTGCGCCACTGCACTCCAGTCCAGTGACAGAGCGAGACTCCATCTCAAAAAATAAAAATAAAAATAGGCCAGGCGCGGTGGCTCACGCCTGTAATCCCAGCACTTGGGAGGCCAAGGCGGGCGGATCATGAGGTGAGATCAAGACCATCCTGGCTAACACGGGGAAACCCCGTCTCTGCTAAACAAAATACAAAAATTAGGCGGGCGTGGTGGTGGGTGCCTGTAGTCCCAGCTACTCGGGAGGCTGCGGCAGGAGAATGGTGTGAACCCGAGAGGCGGAGCTTGCAGTGAGCCGATATCGTGCCTCTGTACTCCAGCCTGGGCTACAGAGCGAGACTCCGTCTCAAACAAACAAACAAAAAATAAATAAAAATAAAGAGGAGCACTCTTGGTTTTGAGGTCTTCTTCAGGCTGTCCCTGAACTCAGTGTCCTTGTAGAGACCAAAGTTGCTTCTCTGGGAAGTTGTATGCAAATTGGCCATAAAACCCTGTTCCCTGATACCTTCTTGTTTCCTTCCTAGACGTTGGATATTTATGCTAGTTTATGAAGACTTCAGAGCACTGAGGCCCAGGCCTTGACACTTTCTGACCTCAGTTTCTTGTCCAAAACAACTGTGTTGGTAACAAGGCACTTTGGATAGGCGGGGGCTGTGGCATGTGGCATTCCGCAGTGTACAAGATCAGGACACTGTCCTGAGGTCCTCCATGTTTTCTAGGCTTGATAAGACTTGGGTAGGCTCAAGCTGGGCATGGTGGCTCACACTCGTAATCCCAGCACTTCAGGAGGCTGAGGCAGGCAAATCACTTGAGGTCAGAAGTTCAAGACCAGCCTGGCCAACATGATGAAACCCTGTCTCTGCCAAAAAATACAAAAATGAGCCAGGCATGGTGGCACGTGCCTGTAGTCCCAGCTACTCGAGAGGCTGAGGTGGGAGAATTGCTGGAATCCGGGAGGCAGAGATTGCAGTGAGTCGAGATTGCACCACTGCACTCCAGCCTGAGGAACAGAGTTAGACCCTGTCTCAAAAAATAAAATAAAATAAAATAATAAACTTGGATAGGCTCAGAGCTTGGCCATGGCCCTTGATTCACCTCAGCTCAGAAGCCCTCCTGGGAAATAAGATTAAGCCAGCCTGACAGTGGAGATTGAGAGGCCTGGGCTCAGCATCTGGCTGGATAGCTGGGAAGGGATAGTGGCCAGAGAAAGTCCGAGGTTATAGCTGGGCCCCTCCTTGGCCCCTGCCCACCCCCTCTCTCAGTCTTTGTGTCAGGGAAGGAACATGCCTTGTGGGGATGGTGGACAGATTCATCCCTAGAAGCTGTGGGACCCTCCCACCCCCAGCCACCACCACCCAAGAATCCCCAAAGCAAGTGGGAGAATCTCCTTTCAGGCTGGTGAGAGATGAGCAGTGGAGGAGGCAGTGAGAGTTTTTATGGAACAGTAGCTGAGAGAGCACAGAGGCTCAGGGAAGCTGAGGGTGTCCTTGAAACCATGTGTTGGGGTGCTGGGGCATAGTTCCCCATCCCCTCCCTGGGGGAAGGAAGACTAAGGTTGATCCAGCAGACTATCCTATGGGGCCCAAGGGACAGGTGGATTTACATGAGAGCACCCAGAGTCTCTTGGAGTGATTACTAGCGGAGAACCCTTGGGAAAGGCTGGATTTGCAGCCAGCACTGGGCAAGCAGGGGACACACACGTTATGCTCTACTGTGGAAGCCTCATACTCGATCAATGTAAGAATCTTCTTTAGGAAACAACCAAACCAAAAAAGCCAAGCCTCTTTACTACCTGGCTCAGGGTTGATGCTCAAAGAATATTTGTTAAATGAATAATGACTCTTAATTGATTAATAAACTGTAAGTTTGGAATTAATACCTCATACTCTTGGCATTGAAAACGATCCTGTTCCCCGGAAACCCTGGCCCTGTTCACCTCTGTCGAGTCTGTACAAGAGTTCACATCGATCCAGCATCCACCTTCCTGGGTTCCTGGGCTCTCTGCCCTGATCTCTCACAGAGGTTGGGCCAGGGTAAGGAGAAGAGGGGGCCTCCCCACTTGCTGTGGGGCGAGGAGACAGCCGTGGGACAGCTGCCTTCCCAACCACCAGCCCCACTCTGTAGTTCCCAAGTTCTGTCTCAGGAAGCCCTCTTCCTCAAGGGAACCTTCCTGGATTTCTCCTACTTCTAACTCTGCCAAATTCCCTCCTCCCAGGATAGACATGAATTCAAACATTTCTCATTTGCTATGTCATTTAAGTTCTTTTTTAATGTTCTCAGTCATCTGCTCCCTAAATACCCCCGTAACTGGGTGGATCACCATTCTGGGGGGTGGAGGGGTGGCCTGGAGGAGGTAGAGCTGTGCCCTCAGGCAGCTCCAGCCTGCAGAGGAGGAGGCAGGTCACATGCAAAAAATGCTCCAAGACTCGAGGAAGGAATCCTGAGGTCAGATCTTGAGCACCAGGCCTGTGCTGGGCAGGTGGGGTATCTGCTGAGGTAAGACCCCTCCTCCCAGACTGGGCTCCCAGGCTTCCGACCCAGAGGGGTGTCACTCCAGCCATGGTCCTGAGGCTGGGGCCTGGGTGAACTGGTGGCCTCTCATCCCCCAGTCTCCGTGGCCAGGTACAGTCGGTGGGAGCCGAGGGCTCGAAGGCGGGTGGCGGCTGCGGGGGAAGGCGGTGGGCCCACGGGGTGGCGCAGGCGGCTACAGGTCAGGAGCAGGTCAAACAGCAGCAGCTTGAAGAGCAGCAGCCGCAGCACCCCCAGCCACAGGACCCCGCCCGGCATCCCTGCGAGGAGGAACCGCTCAGGAGCCCGCAGGAGCCTGCAGCCCCCCGACCCCAGGAGAGAACGTCCACGGAGGAGAGGGCCTTGTCTTCTGCCCTTGCCATTGCCCGTCCCCTTGACCCCTCCTCCAGGGAAAGTCCATCCCGGTGTCTAGCCTCCATTCTTACTGGTAATAATAAATACCTTCCTTGCCTTCATTTTATTTTATTCCCCAACAATCATGGGGGTAAGGGTAGGGGCCAGGCAGGACTTAGCATCTGACGCAGAGAGTAACTAGCTCAAAATTCTTTTTTTTTTTTTTTTTTTTTGAGATGGAGTCTCACTCTGTCACCCAGGCTGGAGTGCAGTGGCCCGATCTCAGCTCACTGCAACCTCCACCTCTTGGGTTCAAGTGATTCTCCTACCTCAGCCTCCCCAGTAGCTGGGACTACAGGCATGTGCTACCATGCTCGGCTAATTTTTGAATTTTTAGTAGAGACGGGGTTTCACCATGTTGGCCAGGCTGGTCTCGAGCTCCTGACCTCGTCATCCACCCACCTCGGCCTCCCAAAGTGCTGGGATTACAGGTGTGAGCCACCGCGCCCAGCTTCAAAATTCTCTATTTGGTCAGGAAGCAGAGTTGGACCACAGCCCAACTTCATGACTGTCCATCCAGTGCTCTTTCCATCACCCCAGACAGCCTCCCATTTACACAGCCTGTAATGCTAAGACCCCCTGCCTGGGCTGCTCAAGGAGGACTCCAAAGACCCCTCTATTAGCTGTCACCTGTGCTTCTCAACTAATGTCCAAGAATTAGGCTAAGGTCAAAGGATTCACCCCCATCTTATCCTAGGTAGACTGAGGCCCATGCTAGCCAGTGCCCCAACCTAGCATGACAGCCTCTACGTGGGACACCTACTGACCTCCCGTGTAAGACCCATTAGGCCAGAGCTGAATGCCCCACCCCCCAGGCCCAAGGTCCTGGTCTCAGCCTCTTATTCCCCATCCCTTGCCCAGAGTACTCACCCCTGAGAGGCTCCCAGGGGCAGGTCCTGGCTGTAGAAGCCTCTCCTGTTGTCCAAGGAGAAGGGAGTGAGTCTTTGGGGATGGGCCATGCACTCTGGAGGCCATCCCCAGTGCTATGCCCAGGCCCTGGCACAGCATGGGTGTCAAGGCATTGGGGTAAATGGACAAGTGAGCCAGCAGCAGAAACCCTGAGCCCATTTGCTGCAAGTCCTCTGAGGGCCCAAACATCCCTCACTTTGCACTGTTCCCCGTTCTGTGCCCTGGGGAGGCTGGGGTGCCCAGCACTCTCAGATAAGGAACTGACCGTCTTCACGGCATTCTTTGAAAGTCAGGGCACTGAGTTAACAAACATTCCCATTTGGAAGATGACAAAACTGAGATAATCCCCAGAGAGGAAGTAAGTCATCTGGTCAGTGATAATAATTGCTGACTGTTTCAAAATACAATGGAGGGGGAAACAAAAATCACTGGCTTTAGACATGTTACTTAGCCTCCCCATGCCTGTAAAATTAAGGGAATTATATGATCTGTCTCATAAATGTGAAGTGTATAGAACACTGCCTAGAACAGAGTCAACGCTCAATAACTGGTAGTGATTGGTTAATTAGTTTGGTCCTTACAGGGTATCATGCATGTACACAGGGTGATATATCTATGTGTGTATAATGAATCCTAGGTAGAAGGAGGCATTTTTATCTTTGGAAGCCGTGCTGCAGAGCCTGGATTTCAAACAGATATTGCAGTTGCAAATCCCAGAATTCATGGCCCTGAGGCCACTCTCCCCTGAGCCCAAGTGTCACCTCACCCGGAGGCTCTACACTTGGACACCCTTCATGCCTTTGCAACCTGGAGCCTGCCCTCCCTCCAACCATATCCTAGTGTGTGGAAGGGGACAGGGAGCATCCGCAAGGGCCCAGGCTCCATCCCCACCTGACAGCTGCAGGGGCTGTGTACTCCTGCTGTGGCCCTCAGCCCCAGGCCCAGTGTGGCAGACCAAAGGCTCCCAGGATGCCAGCTCCTCAGAGGGCAGGGAGAGATGGGCCAAGCTGGTCCAGGTGCCATCCGTTGCTGGGGAAGGGCCATAGGTGAAGGCATCCAGTGCACTACCGTTGCCGGCTGAGAACCAGATGGGGCTGTCAAAGCCAGGGGGTGCAACATCAAGGACCAGGCAGACCACCACCATCTGCTGTTTTCCATCCGCCAGTAGCGTGATTGGTGGGGCCAGAGAAGGAAAGGGTGTGCCACCCACACCTGCAAGAGAGCATGCACCTGTGGGTGCTAGACCAGCTTGTGGCTTCCCAGGCCAGCATTGTGTTGTAGGCTAGGGTTCTACATTTCTGTCTTTCCATCCATCCATCCATCCATCCATCCATCCATCCATCCATCCATCCACAAATTCTATGGGGTAAGGGTAGAAGGCAGGCAGGCAGACTTAGCATCTGACGCAGAGAGTAACTAGCTCAAAAATTTTAATCACAACGCCATGCCCAGGCCCCGGCACAGTACGGTGCTGGGCAGCAGTGATTAGGGGTGGGGTTTCGGGACAAGTGAGCTGTATACAGAAACTCCTGAGTTTCATTTGTTGCAGTCTCTGAGGGGCTCCAAACATTCTCTTCACGAGCCTCGTTCCCCTCGCCCTGTGCCCTCTGGGAGGCTAAAGCCCACTCTCAGATATGAACTTGACCGTTCTTCACGTGTGCATTTTTTGAAAAAGTTTTCACTGAGTTAAACAAACATTTCTCCCATTTGGAAGATGACAAAACTGAGATAATCCCCCAGAGAGGAAGTCATCTGGTCAGTGATAATAATTGCTGGGACTGTTTCAAATACAATGAGGGGAAACAAAAATCACTGGCTTTAGACATGTTACTAGCCTCCCCATGCCTGTAAAATTATGAATTAAGGTGACCTGTTCTGCTAAAATGAAGTGTATAGAACACTCCAACAGAGTCAACGCCAATAACTGGTAGGCATTTGGTTAATTAGTTTGGTCCTTACAGGGTATCATGCATGTACACAGGGTGATATATCTATGTGTGTATAATGAATCCTAGGTAGAAGGAGGCATTTTTAATTCAGCCAAAGGCAGAGCTCGATTTCAAAACAGATATTGCAGTTGCAAATCCCAGAATTCATGGCCCTGAGGCCACTTCCCTGAGAGCCCAAGTGTCACCTCACCCGGAGGCTCTACACTTGGACACCCTTCATGCCTTTGCAACCTGGAGCCTGCCTCCTCCTCTGCTAACCATATCCTGGCGTGTGTGGCGGGGACAGGGCATCCGCAGGCGCCCAGGCTCATCCCCACCTGACAGCCGGTGGGGCTGTGTATTCTGCTGTGGCCCTCGGGCCCCAGGCCCGTGTGGCAGACCAAAGGCTCCCAGGATGCCAGCTCCTCGAGGCAGGGAGAGATGGGCCAAGCTGGTCCAGGTGCCACGCTGGGGAAGCGGCCATGGTAAGAAGGCAACCAGTGCAATTGGTCACCGCTGTCGGCCGAGAACCAGATGGGCTGCCGCCAGGCAAACAACAAGCGAAATCAGGCACTTCTCACCACCAATCTTCTGCTGTTTTATCCGCCAGCGCAGATTAGTCAGAGAAGGAAAAAGGTGTGCAGCTACCCACACCTGTAGAGAGCATGCACCTGTGGGTGCTAGACTGTGCTTGTGGCTTCCCAGGCCAGCATTGTGTTGTAGGCTAGGGTTCTACATTTCTGTCTTTCCATCCATCCATCCATCCATCCATCCATCCATCCATCCATCCATCCATCCACCATCCATCTACCTGTCCTTCTAGCCACTCATCCATTCCTCCCTCCTTGCATTTTCCCATCAAGCCACCCTTCCTTCCCTCCATCTGCCCATCCTTTCATTCACTCACCTATTTATCCATCCTTTCTTCTATCAGCCATCTATCCTCCATCTATTCCTTCCTTCTTTTTTTTTTTTGAGACAGAGTTTCGCTCTGTTGCCCAGGCTAGAGTGCAGTGGCGTGATCTTGGCTCACTGCAAGCTCTGCATCCGGGGTTTATGCCATTCTCCTACCTCAGTCTCCCGAGCAGCTGGGACTATAAGCGCCTGCCACTGAGCCCGCCTGGCTAATTTTTTTTTTTTTTTTTTTTTTGTATTTTTAGTAGAGACGGGGTTTCATCGTGTTAACCAGGATGGTCTCGATCTCCTGACCTTGTGATCCACCTGCCTCAGCCTCCCAAAGTGCTGGGATTACAGGAGTAAGCCACTGCGCCCAGCCAACTCCATCTATTCTTTCTACCTTTCATCTATGTATCTGTCTATCCTTTCACCCACCTCTTCTTCCATCTACTTGTCTATGATATCCGAGCCCCATTCTGTGCCAGGAACTAGAGATACAACATTGGGTAAGTCATCGTTCCTGCTCTCAAGGAACTCAGTTCCATGGGAAAGACAGTAAATGTGCAAACAAATACTTGTAATACCCTGCTGTGGCAGCCTCTGGTGAGGAAGGGAAGGAAACAGGACCTGGAATGAGATTAGAAGGGGCCTCAAATATATCTGTAACTTTTTGTTTCTTTTTTTAAAAGTCTGATTTAAACATGGCAAAATGTTAAACATTTGTTAATCTAGGTGGAGTGTGCATTGGTGTTTTTTCTTTTATTCTCAGCCTTTTTCTGTAGCCTGTAGTTTTTTTGTTTGTTTGTTTGTTTTTTGAGACGGAGTCTCCTCTGCCTCCCAGGCTGGAGTGCAGTGGCACAATCTCGGCTCACTGCAACCTCCACCTCCTGGGTTCAAGCTATTCTTCTGCCTCAGCCTCCCAAGGTCCCATGACACCACCCTGGCTAATTTTTATTTTTATGTTTTTAGTAGAGACTGGGTTTCTCCATGTTGGTCAGGCTGGTCTCGGACTCCTGACCTCAGGTGATCCGTCCACCTTGACCTCCCAAAGTGCTAGGATTACAGGCATGAGGCACCATATCCAGCCTTTTAAAAAAATAATAATAATAATAATAAAAAGCTTTATTGGCTGGGCACGGTGGCTAAAGCCTGTAATCCTAGCACTTTGGGAGGCCGAGGCGGGCAGATCACAAGGTCAGGAGATCTAGACAATCCTGGCCAACATGGTGAAACTACATCTCTACTAAAAATACAAAATTAGCTGGGCGTGGTGGTGCATGCCTGTAATCTCAGCTACTCAGGAGGCTGAGGCAGGAGAATCGCTTGAACCAGGGAAGCGGAAGTTGTAGTGAGCCTAGATCGCACCACTGAACTCCAGCCTGGTGACAGAGCAAGACTCCGTCTCAAAAAAAAAAAAAAAAAGCTTTGTTGGCTGGGTGTGGTGGCTCACACCTGTAATCCTAGCACTTTGCGAGGCTGAGGCAGGCCGATCACCTAAGGTTAGGAGTTCGAGACCAGCCTGGCCAACATGGTGGAACCCCATCTCTACCAAAAATACAAAAATTAGTCGGGTGTGGTGGTGTGCACCCGTAGTCCCAGCTACTTGGGAGGCTGAGGCGGGAGAGTTGCTTAAACCCAGGAGGCAGAGGCGGCAGTAACCCGAAACCCCCCACCCCACCCCCGGCTGGAAAAAAAAAAAAAAATCAGCCAAAAAAAAAAAAAAAAAAAAAAAGACTGGGTGTGGTGGCTCACACTTGTAATCCCAGCACTTTGAGGGGCTGAGGCGGGCGGATCACCTGAGGTCAGGAGTTCGAGAACACCCTGGTCAACATGGTGAAACCCCATCTCTACTAAAAATACAAAAACATTAGCTGCGCATGGTAGCACATGCCTGTAGTCCCAGCTACTCTGGAGGCTGAGTCACAAGAATTGCTTGAACCTGGGCAAAGGTTGCAGTGAGCTGAGATCATGTCACTACACTCCAGCCTGGGTGACAGAGTGAAAAAAAAAAAAAAAGCTTTGTTTAGATATAGTCCACATACCAGACAATTGACCCATTTGAAGTATAGATGTATTATTTCATAATCTTAAGAACTAAGTCATATGGGTACTACAAACATTTTTCCCATATTTTCCAAAATAATCCCTACTTCACACAATCTTTTTTTATTATTATTATTATTATTATTATTATTATTATTATTATTCTGAGACAGGGTTTAGCTCTGTCATCCAGACTGGACTGCAGTGGTGTGGTAACAGTTCACTGGAGCCTTGGCCTCCTGGCCTCCCAAGTAGCTGGGACTACAGGCACGCGCCACAACACCTGGCTAATTTTTAAATTACTTGTAGAGACATGGGTCTCCCTTTGTTGCCCGGGCTCAAGCTGTCCTCCCGCCTCGGCCTTCCAAAGTGCTGGGATTACGGACATGAGTCCCTAGGCCCAGGCTGCAATCTTATTCTTTTCAGCAAAGATGGCTCATTTAATATGTAACAGAATTTTATTTATTATTTTTTGAGATGGAGTCTCACTGTCTTACCCAGGCTGGAGTGCAGTATCACAATCTCAGCTCACTGCAATCTCCACTTCTGGGGTTCAATAAATTCTCCTGCTTCAGCCTCCCAGGTAACTTGGATTATGGGTGTGCACCACCAGGTCTGGCTGATTTATTTTGTATTTTTTGTAGAGACAAGGTTTCACCATGTTAGCCAGGCTGGTCTCCAACTACTGACCTCAAATGGTCCTCCCACCTCAGCCTCCCAAAGTGCTGGAATTACAGACATGAGCCACCGCGCCTGGCCCAGAATGTTATTTTTGAACATTGCAATTTTTTTTTCTTTTTTTTTTTTGAGACAGAGTCTCTCCCTGTCGCCTAGGCTGGAGTGCAATGGCATGATCATGGCTCACTGAGGCTTCGACCTCCCGGGTTCAGGTGATCCTCTCACCTCAGCCTTCCCAGTAGCAGGGACTACAGGCAGGTGCCACCATACCTGGCTAATTTATTTTTTATTTTTTGTAGAAATAGGGTTTCACTATGTTGTCCTAGCTGGTCTTGAACTTCAGGGCACAAGAGATCCTCACACCTGGGCCTCCCAAAGTGCTGGGATTATAGGCATGATCCACCTTGCCCAGCCTGGAGTTTTTTGTGAATTAGGTATAGCCAGACTTAAGAAATGTCCCAGAGTGCAGGGAAGGAGGCCAAAGAATCTTGTGAGGATGTAGGGGTAAAGGGTACTCAGGAAAGATTTCTTAGAAGCCAAATAATTAGCCTAGGCCAGTCATGGTGGCTCACACCTTTATTCCCAGCACTTTGGGAGGCTGAGGTGGGCGGATCACAAGGTCAGGAGATTGAGACCATCCTGGCTAACATGGTGAAACCCTGTCTCTACTAAAATACAAAAAAAT